ATATTAGTTTGTAATAGTTCTCTGAGAGTTTGGTGCAAAATGTTTTAATCATATTTACTCCTCCCCTAATTCTTCCCAAATCCACTCTCCATTTTCTACCCACTAACTTTCTGAGCTTTAAAAAGAGATCTATCAAGACCAACGGGTGCTGCCCAAACATTCTTGCATGCATGATCTTCCACTGCAGTGCAATCTGACTACCAGGAACTGTGTCTTTCCTTATCACAACAGCTAAAAATTACCAATAACTTCACGGTTAGGGCAGAATTTAGTGCCCACCTCCATTTTTATGATGGAGGTTTGGTCTAGCTTGGACTTGCCCAGGTCATGTTCACAAGTGCAGCTGCCCAGCTGTGCTGCTGTGCACAGTAGATTCTGTTTCCATGTAGTCATCTACCACCTCTAGTTCTTACAGTCTTTCCACACTCTTTTTGCAATGATTCCTGAGTCTTTTAAGGAGGGAATGTAATAGAGACATTGTTTCAGATCAAGCCTTATCGTGCAGTCTCTTATTCTCTGCACCTGGAAAGTTATGCATTTCTAAGTTAATAATCATAACTGCAAATAGAAGCTTATCTGATGAGGATTGAGAGATGCATTAATCTATGGGTATGACAAGTCATTAGGAGTCATTACAACACTATATCCATTTAGCAAATTAAATATACTAGATTCTCTCTTAGGGATTATGACCTGTCTAGCAATGGTTTATTGGTCCAATAATGGTGCCAGGCATGGGTTTCAGCTTCTGGGGCAGAACTTAAATCCAATCAGAAAGTAATTGGTTATTCACATGATTTTTGTACCACTATTGCACCAGTGAGCATGTCTTACAAAGCTTTTGTTGTTACAGTGTACAGTGTCATGGCTAGGCTTGATTGATGATAATGTTTCTCTTTCAATAGTGTAAACAGAACTTCTCTGCACTGTGAAAGTTAGACAGTAGGGAAGAAGCTTCCAGATCTGTACCAGTCTGCTTTCTCTGTCACATTCTGAAGGGTAAACAAGAACAATGGCAATACTAAGTCCTACTTTTTTTTTTTAACTAAGACAACTTTTAATTCTTAGTCTTCAAAGGTTTTTGGTGGTGGTAGTAGTGATGATAGTGGTTTGGTTTTTAATGTTTTGTTTTGTTTCAGTTGCTTGGGTCTCATAAAGTAGGTCGAGCTAGCCTCAGACTTTCTATCTTGTCTGGGCTCATCTCAGATTCACAGCAATCCTCTTGTCTCTGTCTATAGAGTAGTGGAATTATTGTACTGCAACACTGTGGCAGACAGCCACAAGTTTTCAATAAATTATCTTTAAATGATATGCACCCTATGTAGAGTTCTGTGAACTCTGTGAAATATCTGTGAAATCACAGCACTGAATAATCTCTATAACCTATTCCATTTTACATATAGTCCAATGATTCAGACAAAAACACAGGCTTCAATTTCCCACTTGAAACATATAAATTAGTGAAAAGGAGTAGTGTATTAAGAAAAAAGTACTCTAACAGAAATAGATATGATTAGATTAGAACTACATGAATCTTAAAAAATCATGGTAGGAAAATTTTCAGTTTTATAATAAATAAAATTATTTATTACCACTAATTTAAATGAACTTAGTCCTTATTTAAATTCTTATTTCTTTTGCTTTATAGAAAGAAGAAAAGAAATAGCTGTTGTCTTCTCTAGATTATGTGCTTTGTTTCTCATATATATATATATGATATATATATAGCTAAAATTCTAAGTATGTCTTAATCACGTAAGTTAGAAAAATATTGACCCCATTCTACATAATGTTCTAAGCCCTGGGAGCTCAACTTGAGTTGACAGCTTCCCAAAAATTTTAGTATTTGCCATCATCTTCCAGCAGGCATTGCAATGTTCATGTCACAACTATGTGAAAAGCAGAAAAAAGGCCTCAGAATTTAACTCCATTTAAATTTGTTGTAGCCACTATAATAACTCATATGATTTTATCAGTATAATTTAGGATGCTACTGAATTAGTTGTCTTAGTTAATTTCTCAATGTTTTGACAAAAAATGACAAAAAAGTATGGTGAGAGGGGCTTATTTTAGCTTTCAGTCTGAGCACACAGTCCATCATGTCAAGGAATCATGGATTCAGGAAGTTGAGGCAACTAAACACATAGCATCTGTAGTCAGATGGCAAAGAGAGATGCATGCCAGTTCTCAACCTGTGTCCCCATTTTATTCAGTCCAGGAATCTAATCAGAGAATTAATAGCTATGCAGAATTATATTGGGTCCTCTACCTCCATTAACCCAATTAAGAAAATGCCTCAAAGACATGTCCAGATGTTTGTTTCTTAGGTGATTCTAGATCCTGTCAAGTGGACTATCACCATTAACCATCATGTTACCTAATATTGTCTGGTCAACAATGAGACTTAGACTTGCACAAATAATAAAGGACCATATGGATATATTCATGAACAGAAATCAACATATTGAGAAAGAAAAAGTAGTATCTTTTCCATGGCAGAGGAAAGAGAGTGTGGAGACAAAGCTGGCAGCACTGATGAGACAGTGGTATAACACATGTAGATATGTTTGTAGAAATGTAGAGTTTACCCTCCAAAGCCTTGGATGGTCAAGAATGCCAGGGTGCAAGCAACTGATTAGGAGGTGACGATGGTTCATGGTAGGATTGGAATGGCTGGGGATGTCTCCGGAAGTCTGAGAAGACAATAGGCACAACAAATATTCATCACTTGACTCATCTTCCTATTGAGAGACCTAAAAGTGGAGCCACAAGCCCAGACCATGAGACCAGGTGCAGAACATCAGTGAAGTCAAAGTCTACGTTCTCTTTGCCCTCCTGTTCTCTCATTCGGTTGCAGCAATGGGACCAGAGTCCAGTCTGTGCCTTCAGAGAAATTCATACCTCAAGAGCTGATTGGGTATCTGTAAGCATAAGTTATTCATCAGTACATGATGATCCCTAATTTCATTGCTTTTAGAATGAAAACAAAAAGATATCATAATATCATAGAACTGTTTAGACAGCTTTATGACAGCAATAACAACCGACAATCCTAATTTTTATACCATTGACTTGCTAAATAACAGCTGGTCATGTGTGAGTCTAATCTTCAATAATAGATGAAAGAATGTATGAATCTATCACAACACACAAGTCACCGTGCTAAATTACCTTCTCCTACAGCAGGGAAAATGATTCTTGAGGACAGATTTGTTATTATGGATGAGTATGAAGGGGCAAAATGTGGGGAAGCATGTGTCTAGTAATGTAAATATGCTGATTATCCACAGCCTTGGATTGTCAAACACCACAGAATAGATAACTAATATGAAGGACATTGAGTAGGAGAGGACAAAGGTGCACACAAGGATCAAGATGGTTTTTGTGGCTTTGTCTTCAGGGGAGACTCTGAGGGAATACTGGGCACTGTGGATGTGCTGTAGCTGACTCTTGTGCCTATAGAGGGTACTCACCATGAAGACACTGGCCCAGACCATGAGACCCAAACATAGACCATCAGTGAAACACAGCAAGGACAGATGTAGCCCAGGTACAGAATTGTGAAAAACAAATGCTGAGCAGTACCCCAACTTGATTTTCTTGGTGAAGTTTTTGTTAGTACCAGATCCAATCACATCTACAGCTGTTTTGCTGTTTAAAAGCAGATGAACAAGCCAGCTGAGTGAGCAGGACTGAACCATGTACTTGGAGACTGAATGTTTCAGCTTCATCCACCTGGAGTTGCTGGGGCTGATTGTGATTGCTTGGAAACAGCTCAAGAGGCAGGTGCAGTGCAGGGAAATGCCCCGGGACACCCGGTTACTGTAGAGAGTAAGTTTACATAACAGGTCATCCAGGAGATATTGCAAGCCCAACTGTGCCATTATTTGAGGAATTACTCTTGAGATGATAACCAAGGAATTGGCTAAAGTCAGGTGCCTCAAAATCTGGTCTTTGGGCATCAGACTTTTTCCAGTGAATACAGATGCAACATGAGGAAGAAGAATCGACCAATTACCAAAGATCCCCACAGCTGTCTGAAAAAAGAACAAAATTCCCATTGACAGATTCTCAGGAGCCATATTCTTTTCACCTGAGAGAAACAAATTTAGCCACATCAGTACAACCAGGAAGAAGACATTTAAACGTGTTTTAAATTTTTAGTAGCTCGAATTGTATCAGTGACTCATTAGGCCAAATGGCTGTCTTATCCCAAGTTACCCAATCAATAAGATATAATGCTGTGGTAATACACATTGTAGGTTATCAGATGTGGGAGTAAAGAAAAGGATGGAACTATGGACTCGGAGTTGTCATAGTTCCACGAATGATTTATAATCTTCACAGTTCCTCAAATGATTTTTCTAAACTAATAATATCCAATAGATACTTCCAATTTTGAATTGAGTATACTAATGTCAACAACAAACTCAATTGCTTCCTGAAGTCCAGCTATTAAAACACAAAAATAGAAATTAAACACTATACCCAAAGATACAGAAACCTGTAAGCAAGAAGAATCAAAAGAATGAATACATGTCAAAAGACAGGCTGGTATAAATCAGAAAAAAAGGTAAGAAATTATAAAAATTTGAATCTGATAAAAATGATTACTATCATTGTTTGATTTTTTAAAAAAATACAGTCCTATGTGTTCATATTTTTTTTAATTTAAAAAGAGAGAGAAGGGGGTTTCTTGTCATCGGTCTTTGATTTTTTTTTTTTTAGCACATAAAGAATCTGAAGTTTGTAAGTAGTTTGGGATCACATAGCTAGAAAACATTAACCATCTTCCCACATGCAGTTATTAGCATGATTTTGTAGGGTACATTTTCATTTCAGTGCCTCGGCAATATAAAAAAAAAACAACATGAAATGATAGCAAGACAGATTAGCAATCAGTTAAAGAGACAGAGTCAGAAATTGTACTACAAAGCTTAGCGTTCAAAACTATCAATGCTTGCATATTTCCGAATCTGCGAAAGCAGCTGGAAAACTATAACAGAAAAAGAGGGGATTAAAGGGTGGAGGGAGAGGATGAGAGCCAGGCTATGAGCATCACTGTTTATCTTTGAAGAAAGAAGGTCAATCCAAGATCATCTTCCTATTCAACTAAGGAAAGTCTCTGCCCTGAGCCAGCAGGTGTTGCTACCTGACAGGGTCATGAGGAGGAAAGTCCAGAGGATCAGATATAATAAAGAAAGACTAGGTAGGCTTAGTAGGTCTTGTGCAAGATATATCTTGTGCCAAGCAAGCTTATTTAAAAGTACAGCATCTTATCTGCTAATTTCCGGGCAGAAACTGGAAGAAATCAGAAGAAAGCTAATCCAGCAGAGTTGTAAAAGATGAATGCACAGACTATCTCAAAGTCACCACATAACAAGCACATAGTGGCCCTAGACTGATACCTCCCATCTTTTCAGGAGGTTAATCGAATTCCCAGAAACCACCATCTTATCTCCTAGGACCCGGTCTCAACCCCAGACTGGCCATGCTAAGTTTGCTCCTTCGCACAGAACTAGGTTGCTTTTACTCTCTCACCAGGGCTTCTGAGAAGTGTTGGGCAAGTCCAGCTCTCAATCCATCTCCTCATATTTCCATGAATACATGCACATGAAGAAGATTCCTGTATAGGGAGATGTTCCTGATGGTCCTGGTATTAGAAAACATTCCTAGTGATTCCTTCTCTACTTTTCTTCTACTCACAGAAGTTTATCCTAAATTACATACTTGCTTAATAGAATTTCTGTGGTTAAGGGCCGTACTGAGGTAGGAAGAGAGAAATCAAATACATTGTGTAGAACAAGAGTTAGTACACCAGCATGAAATTATACAAGAAAGAGGGAATAAGACAAAATATATTGATTCACAGGGTAAAAGCTGTATTGAACAACGTTGGAAAATCAGGTAAGGTAATAAACACTGTATTCAAACAAGACAGCTCCAATGAGTAAGATTTTGTGATAGATGCCATATTTGGGTTTAGTCTTTTCATCAGTCTATAATGAATCATAAGAAATCCATTCAAAAGAATGGGGAGGAGAAGATGAAAAGAGAAAATGGAACATCTAGGAATGGAAGACTTTGTCAGTAGATAGATGGCTCAGTTGGAGGAAATGTGATAAAAAGTCCATCCCAGAGACTCAATGCTAGTCATCGCTCTGACAAACTTCAAAGGAGAATTCTCCATAAATTCATTTTGAAAAACCAGAAATGAATTTTTCAACCTGGGCATCAAGGGATCTGGAAAAGCTGTGTCTGCAAGCATAGTAGATTCAGATACAGAAGGAAGTACTCAGAAGCAGAAGTTCCCAGAATGCCTTCCTGCCCTGTTCCACTTGCAGTGCTCCTCGCTTGAGCACTGTCCAGCCCTTGATGCTCTTTTTGGAATTCTTTTTACTTGAACCCTGTGTTCATGTACTAAAAGTCTCCTGAGTTTCAGACCACACCAAAAACGGTCACATACACACCCAGTCAACAGTTAGCTTTCTCCTTCGGATTTCAATCAAGACTCGTCTTCACAGTTCTTACTATGAGGTGCTGAGGATAATAGAAACTGTTTTCTCTGTATCCCTTAAACTGATGCAGCAGAGTATCTATTGTCTCAAACATTTACAAAACTAACGGAAAGAATTCTCTGTCACTATGTTATTTTACACAGGAAATCTGATTGAGTCTGCTAAGAGAAGAAAAACCAAATCGCACTGTGTGAGCCGTGCTCCTCAGTATGCACACTATCCATTCAGTCACACAAAAGCTTCTGGTTAAAATACCTATTTCTTTGAGAAAATAAATGATCATTTTTAGTAAACTTAAAAGATCTAAGGGAATCATGAATGGCTTGCATGTCTGTGATTTTAAGATTAGTAACTTTGGGGACTGGAAAGATGGGTCAGTAGTTAAGAGTACTTGCTATTATTTCAGAGAATCCAGTTCTCTTTGCAGCACCCACACAAGGTGGCTCTCCACTGCCTGTAACTCCAGCTGCATGGAGAATCTTATACCTTTGGGCTCTACTGGATCCTGCACACACATGTAAACATACCCACAAACAGACACACAAATATATGTAATTTAAAATAATAAAAATAAATCTTAAAAGGAAGATTAGTAACTTTCCTCTAATGGGAGAGAATAATAAGAGCAAAATTCAACCACCAAATGATATGGGGGCAGGCTAGATTGGGTAATGGGTAAGAGCACTTAGTGCAAGCATTAGGATCTGAGTTCAGATCACACTGCCTGCATGATATTGCTGGGAGTTATTGGCCACCAGCTTAGAAAGAACTCACAAGCTTCAGATTCAGACAGAGATCTTGTTTAAATAAATGAGGCAGAGAGGGATACAAGAAGGCATCCACCCACTCCTCTGCCAGCCACACACATGCACTATATTCTCTATCATCTATCTACCTATTTATTTACTTATCTATCTATTATCTATCTATCATCTATCTACGTATCTGTCATCTACCTACCTTCATCTGACTATCTGGATGTTTTCATTTGCATGCATATTTGTTATACATAGTAATGAATGGGACAGTGTACCTAAGATAGGATGAATGGATCCCTTGGAGCCTGTGGGAGGCATCACACAGAGTGGAAAAGGCAGAAGACAGCCCAACCTTTGCCAGCAGGAAATAGCTCACATTTCATGTGAAAATCTTTTCAGATCTTCAACACTTAGCAATAGTGACTTTTCCTTCTAACTCTAGATTCTCTGATCGTTTGTGACAGTATAAAGAGAAAATGTACTTACAGTGTGCTCTATGAAACCACAGTGGAAGAGTGTGTAAGCAGCAACTGAGATGAGACTCTGGCCTCTCACACACAGGCTTATAATTCCCTGGTTTCCTTCCCCACAGGACCTGTGACTTTCAGCTCTAGATCCATAATATCATCTGCATGGGGAATTGAGGATACCTTCTCAACGACTTTGCGCCACTTACCTGTAAATGAAAAAAAAAATCACATTAAGACAGCAAATCCACAGAAGCAATTATAAGGAGTTGGGAAAAAAAAACTTTTCTGCAAACTGTTGGAGTACACAAGGTGTCACAAGGAGCGCCACCCTAGTTCCATGCTGGGGTGGGCACGAGGGAATTATGTGTCTCTGTCTGTATTTGGGCAGACCTGACAGCTCTTCCTCAACACCTGTTTTCCTGGGAGATTCCAGAAGTTAATAATCAGAATTTAGGACCATTAAAGTTGGAGATTCCACAGATTTTAATATCTCACTTCTTTGAAGCAACATCAGCTAAGAACTTCTTGCTTGTTTGGTGTGCAGCTGGAGTTCATTCATTTTCATGTCTTAAGAAACTCTACTTCATGTATTTACAATTATGTATTTGAACAGCTGATGTATGGATTTCAGTTTTGAGCTAATATAAGTGAGAATTTTCTGAACTTCCTAGCAATGGATTCTATTTGTGGTGTGCATATATTTTTGATGGTATAGCTTTCAGAAAGAATCATTAGATTTTGGGGGTCTGTTTCTTTTAAAATATTTTAATTATTATTTTAAAACTTCCTACATATATACAAAGTGGCCTGATCATATCTACTCCCCACCCCTTCTCCAATATCTCCTCTCCAGTACATCTCCTTCTAATTTCTTTTTTTTTTAGTCAAAATAGTCAGTGCATTATTTTTATTAAAACAAAGAAGTAGGATTATATTTGAATATACATCACAGTTAAAAGTAAAAAAATCAATATAGTCTCTTAGGTGGTGTTACTTTTGTCATCATTATAAGCAGTTTGACAACTTAGTGATTCCCTTAATCACTGGCACGATGGTGCTTTGTATCTCTCCTTAGCAGCAACACTGAGAGCTACTCTGTCTTCCTCATTCTGGGATCATTATGCACATACAAATGCCTCATTTTAAAGTTGGGTACCACACCAATGTATGAAATATTTGCTCTGAGGCTACAAATAACTATGATGTTCTAGGTTTCTTTTTGTTGTCTTTTTTTTCTCTTTTTTTCTAATTAAGGTAAATCTTTATGAATGAACTGCTGCAAATAGATAACAAAGCAAAAAAGTTTACCAAAATAGTACAAAATAATACAAATTTTAGTAGAAAAAGCTAGCTGGGAAAACAATTACAATGA